GTGGTTAAATGTAGGTTAATTGTTGGTTGATTGAAGGTTAAATGTAGGTCAAGTGTAGGTTGATGGTTAAATGTAGGTTATATGTAGGTTAAATGGTTAGATGTATGGCAAATTTAGGTCGAATGTAGAGTCGAATGTATGATAAATGGTTAAATGTAGGTCAAGAGGTCAGATGTAAGATAGATCAAGTCAAACGTTACTAACCTCACTCAGTAACTTGTTGCTAGATCAGGTTACACTGGGCCTTGTCCAAGCTACACACCACCGTAACACTCACAATGCATGTCGATGGTGACGGTAGTGGTGGTGACGGCGACAGGTGCGGTGGAGGCCTTGCAGGTGAGTACAGAGTGGGCGTGGGCGCGGTGAGAGGGTTAAGCACCAGGTTGTTTGACACTACGCCCGACCCCATGGCCAGCCAGAGTCGCTCGATCACTGCCTAAACCACCACGATACCTTAGGCTGAGGACGACCTGAGAGAGAGAGAGAGAGAGATGAGATAAAAATGTCGTTCAGTTCATGTGTGTATCCAGGTAAGTTATGTTAATTGCAATAAACATAATTCAGCAATAACTTAATTTACCTGAGTTCAATGGCCTTGTTTTACAGGTAATTGGGAGGTTGACAGGTAAGGATATTGTCTCAACCCCGTGTACTGAAACAGGGTCAAGGTCAATATCCTAACAAACGAGGTTAACTTGGATAAAATATTTCTTAACCTCATTAACCTCGATAAATCAGACTTAAGGGATAATGGCGTTAATGAGTGTGTTGTATACCTGAGGCGATAAACCAACAAAGGGGGCCTTGTGTTTAAAATATTGCCATCCATAAAGTAGAGTTATTTGGCCTCTGTTAATTGCTACAAAATCAGAGCATAAACACTATGTAGAGCATTACACGCCTCGTGACTGTAGGTCAGATGGGTCAATTAGTTTTAATCCCCAACCTAATCTTACCTAATGATTGTGATTGAGTTCATCAGACGAGGGGAGTGCCTTGAGATTGGGGCCTTAGAATTGAGCCTATCAAGACTGGGCATCAAGATTGGGCCCACCTGACCTACGATCTTCAAAGCGTTATGCTAAAACCAGGTTATTCTGACCATAGACAACACACACACACACACTTACACTCTCCACACAAACCACCACACAAAGTCACACACACACTCCACTTCTATCTCCCACACCTCTCAAACTATAACACAACCAACACTTTCTCTCAACCCACTGATTGCCAATTCAGCGTCTGCCCCTCACAAAAGTTCAAAAACGGTCGACCCATACGTTCAAAACCATCCCGAGGCCGAGGGATACCATTTCTCGATCACAACACAATCAAATGGTTCCATAAATAAGAGATGAGGTGGGCGGTGGCGGGAGAGGCAAGGAGTGACATAATAGTTCTGTCTGCTGATCGCCATTGTATCGAACCCAAACTACAGCTGTTGGTGTTATTGTGATAGAGAGACAGAGGTGGTAGTGGGTAGTGGTAGTTATGTGGTGATGGTGTGGTGATGGTGGGGGTGGTAGTGGTGATGATGGTGTAGCGGTGGTAAGTTTTTGGTAGCACATGGTGTTATGTGGTGATGATGTAGTGGTGATATTATAACAGCGTAAATAAAAGAAAACTCCATTCCTTCATCTACACACACACACACACACACACACACACACACACACACACACACACACACACACACACATTAACAGCTGTTCTATACATAAACATGGTGTGGGATATTTACATACATAATACATAAACCAACCGTGACCTGACACTCTTATGGGGTCATTTAGGAAGGTTTAATACAGGTTACAGGTTAAGTGAATGTAAACTGGGTCTTGTAAGGCGTGTCTCAGTTCACCCACCATGTTTATAACAATTGACCCTTGCTGTGACCTCTGACCCACTATTGACCTAGCGTGGGCTGTGTGACCTTCCATTTCGACCTATGGTGTAAAGGGCCAGATTCCATAAGACAACCTATCGTCACCCAATCCTATCCTAACATTCCCATCCATCACCCCAACCCCAATCATCCTAACCCCAATCTAACTTAACGTAACCAAACAGCTAACCCACTAACTTATCAAACTCTAAACTAACCCAATAAAAAGACAGACAGACAGACGGACAGACAGACAGACAGACAGACACAGACAGACGGACAGACAGAGATAACCCCACCACAGTCTACAAAAATATTTACCCCTGACTTTGTTATTTTTGAAATATGAAATTAAACAACAAAACAAACAAGAACACCCGACAAAAACAAAGAAACAAAGAGATTATTTTGTGCTTTATGTAACGTGATGAACAAAAAATAATACTGTGCAATTTACATTATTTAAAAGATAAACAATGACAATATTAAGAGACATTATTGCAACACTGTGGTAATATTCTTGATAATTATTAGACAGTAATTACAACTATTATTACATATATAAATTATATTATTTCTTGAACATCTTTAAAAATATAACTGAAGATTATTACATATAATATTTTTAATATGTTGAAAAAAATAAATGAAATACAAAAAAAAAATAATAATGAATAACAAATTAAATATATTAATAAAAATAATGATAATTATAGCGTAATATAGTAATTTAGATTAATAAAAAATATATAAAAATTAGAATAACAACATAAAGAAATTAAGAAAAAAACAAATACTGAGTCAATTCAACACAGGTATTCACACAGGTATATATACATAACATTGAAGTAATAACAGTAATGCATGACACACTGTTCATTACAATACCTGGCCTCTATACCTCACTAGTATCCGGCCTCTACCTCCCAGTGTATCCGACCTCTACCTCCCACATTAACCTAATACGAACCATCACTAAGAGTTAACATTATCACGACCTCAATGGAACAAGACATTAATGCCAGCGATGAGGCTAACACGCTGTATGTTAACTTAACATGACCGGGAGTAATGTTAACGGGGTTATATTGTGGGGTAGTTCGTCTGTCCGTCTGTCTGTCTGTCTGTCTGTCTCTTTTCTTGACCTCATTATTCTCTATTTGCTAATTCCGTAAACACAACACAACACACACACACACACACACACACACACACACACACACACACACACACACACACACACACACACACATACACCAATACCCAATCACACACGTACATATATCCAACCAGACACCAATAAAGTCAACACCCAACACAACACCAACACCCAAACAGTCATACGGCCAACACTCCATACAGTCATAAACACCCACACACCCATACAGTCATACACCTATACATCAACACCAACACATAAACACAATGAACAACACCCACACCCAACCAACACAACACCCAACCCAACACAACACACAACCCAAACACAACACCCAACCCAACACCCACACAACAGCCAGACACCCACATACAGTCATACACCCATACAGTCATACACCCATGCACCCATACACCCTACAGTCATACAGCCAGACACCCATACAGTCATACAGTCATACACCCATACAGTCATACAGTCACACACCCATGCACCTACACCCATACAATACCCTCTAGCTCCAGACATACAATACCTATACATCAAGCACCCACAGTCATACACCCAGAACACCACAGTCATACCATACAGTCATACACCCTACAGTGCTTGAGAGCACCCATACAGCCAGCAACCTTATTAGCCATACACACATCAATCACCAGCAGCAAACACAGTGTACTAACAGGACCCGACAGCCTGTTGTACTCAGTTGGTCCAATGGAACCTGTCATGTTTCTCTCTTCTCTTTTACTTCTTTATTTTTTTCATTATCTTTTTATTCTTTCTTTATATGTCTCTCTGTCTCCCCCTATTTATTTATCATTTATTATCTCCAACAAACACACACACACACACACACACACACACACACCCACACCCCACACACACACACACACACACAAACACAAACAAACAACACATAAATTCATCACTTTTATTTACTAAGTCTAACAGGTGGTACAATAACGCAGGTAAATTATGGTAGAGATACATAAATAACCATTACCTTGACGACAGGTAACTCGGGTTGACGCAGGTAAGGCACGACTACTGGCACTAAATGGCAGTGTGTTGGCGGTAAAGTAGCCTGTTGCCACATTCAGTATAATGGGACCACCTACACCACTCCCCACCTCCTGCTGCCCCCTAGAGAGACAAGACAGACAGACAGACAGATTTACTAGAACTGGGACCTATTACGACTAGCACCCAACGACTGGGGCCTACACGACTGGGGCCTATTAAAACTGGGGCTCATTAGCATCAACCTAACTACAAAGACATCAGTCACTCTTATATCCCACAGACAGGAAAGCCATATATGTCTCACTGATACAAGACAACAACAGACTGGATGACTGTGTACATCCCTGTGTACACCGAATACGCACATGTCTGTGTGTCTGTATGTCTTTGTTAAAGTTCTCTTGTTCGTGTTCTTATCCTGTTTTTCTATCCTTTTCTGTATATTCCTCCATCTTTCTTTTATCCTCGTCTTTGAATATTTATCCATCCTGCATTATCCTTTTTCAGCATATCCCTTTTATCCATCTTCACATCCTCTTCCTCATCCTCCAAATCACCTTAATCCTTCATCCTCTTTGCCTATTCCTCCATCCTCCTCTTCGTCTCAATCACCATCTTATTCTCTCTCTCATTTCCTCCCCATCATCAATTTCTCCTATCCACACTTATCCATCTTGTCATCCCATCCTTTATCCTCCCCGTCGTAAATCGGTCTTTACGCGTTAATCGGCTTGGATTACCACCGTCGCCTGGGAGTTATTTTTTACCCTTAAGATGAGTTAAGAGCGAGGTGAACTATAATCTCCAGGAGGGCCATGGAGGGCTTGCCAGGCATGGGAGGTTCATTTAAGGTCATCTAAGGTCAGGTCAGGTTTAACAAGTTAGGTCAATTCATTAAGTCTTGGTACCAGTCCGAATGTTTTGGTTAGGTTAGTTAGGTTAGCCCAGGAGTACAGTAAACCCATTTGGACAGCAGCTCATCAGAAGTGGGGCCTCAAATACCAGTGATTAGGTTGGGGCCTATTAGACTGCACCCATTACGACTGGCAGAAGTACCCATTAGGACTCATTAGGACTGGCAGGACCCATACTGGCAGACTCAGGAGGATGGGCGCCCCATTTAACCAGCCATCGTGTTTGTCCTGTAAGAGAAGTGTTGTGTGTGTGTGTGTGTGTGTGTGTGTGTGGTACCAACATTCAATTCCTCAACCTTGTCTCTTCGTTTCGGGGGCATTAATTAACTACAGTATACCGGTGATAAATATACAACTTAATCCTTAAGTCATAAGTATAGGTCGAGGTTTATTATTATTATTTTAGATCGGTTTAAACTAGCAAGAATTATTATGATGTTCTTTTAAAATTCCCGGCACGACGCCAAGACTGTGTTC